ACTTGCCACGGTCTCCAACCCTCCTCCTTTCTCATCCGGGCTTGGGACCGGCCATGGCGGAGTTTGAAGCCTACTGTGTTCAAAGAGGCAGCACCGTACATTGGATTGCATATGAATGCTTCAGAAACAAGGGCGTTCTTCATCGACATATCAGAAGCATTAAGATAGCAGATCTACCGTGATCAAAATTCTTTTGAAAATTGCGCCTTTATGTACTTCGATTTTCTAATGTTGTCGAAAGGTAAACGATTGCACATATTTTAGTTTCCTTGTTGCTGTATTGAGGGCCTGAAAGCAGCGCAAGAGTCCGCTTTGGTAGGTTGGGGCGGTCATTGCCCTTCATTCCCCAATGATAAACAAAACCGTGACAATAACCTCACAAAGCGTTCCCAATCCCTGTATCTTCTTTAGCTCAGATGGGTAAGGTTTGGAACTTGCGAAGTTCATAATGATGCAAAATAATGATAGGGTCTCATAGCCACAGCGAGTATTACTTACTTGGTAGGTGATCTGGTTAGCACTGAAATCGGAGCTACACCCTGTACTGGCGATTACACTGGATATTCGGTTATCAGTTGAGTCAAGAGAAAATGCAGTCAAAAGGGGCGAATCGGACACCTCAACCATTCAGGCATGACCGGCCCGGCATACCATGCTGCTATCTAATATTCTAAAGTCAGCAGATTTAACGCTGGTTTTTCGCATGTTGTGATGAAGCAACGTTGGGTTAATTCTTTGCTCAAGAGAATTCACAGTTAAGGCAGAGGCTGTTGCTTGACCAGATTAGAACCGGCACACTAGAGTTCACACTTCCGATCTCCAATTAATGTCACCACAAATTCATAGCCTTAAAAAACAATAAAGTCATCTAACAGCTGCGGCTACGGAAATGCGTTGTGTAGTACTTCGTTCTAAAATGAAATCATTTCCTTTCATTGTGCTGGTTTAGCAATTGTTGAGATCATTAGCGAGATACGCTTGCAAAAACAGAACATCTCCAGTTTTCATTGTCCGCTGCGATGTCAAGCGTTCAACACTTCTGCTACGAGGAACCGACTAGTCTATTGTAAATTAGAACAGTCTTTACCGAAAGCAGATATATTCAAATTTCATTCTTCCACGTTGCATGCTATTTTTTTTGGCAGAAATTCGCCGTGTTGCGGCTCCCCGAAGAGAACCGAACTCATATGTGGTCTTTAGCGGCAAGAACGATATTTTTTGATAGCCAAAAACTAGTGCATACATGAGAACCGGAACGACATTCAAATAATGCTGGAGGCGACTAATTATGAGAATAACTGCTGTTCAGAACCAGATGCGTACAATATAAGGAAAAATAATACAAATACGTAGAAACGCTTGCAAAGATTAGGTCATTAACACAAACATAATGAGAATTTTGTACCATGAGGAACATATTTTGACACAGAAGAAGGATTTAGCAGTTGTATTATTCAATAATGACACTACAGATCTGCAGGTACTGTGCACTGTTTCGTGGATACGGTTGCTATGCAACGGGGTAACAAACGCGCGGTAATCATCGTATGGCCAATGAGTGAGGCCCCGGTAATTTTTATGCGTGGTCCTCGGCATAAGCATCGGCGTAATTATTAAAAATATTGATTTTGTATAGTCGATGACCGCCAAATACCCGTCGCCGTCTGTGTACCTGTGTTTCCTTGGTGAAGTGTTCGCCGTGCGCCAGACACCCTTGGTGACCACCGACATTCCGGACGGTATCCATGTATTTGTCTCGTCGGTCCTCGGCAACAAGATTTTATTCGGCGAAGTCGTGAAAATGGCGAACTTGGTTGCTGGGCATATGTAAATAATGGTGATTTGGCCGCGAAGCGAAGGTATCTGTTGCCTGGCAGCGGCTTTCTTTCCGTCTCTGTCTGTCTACCTCCGTGTGTCACTGTCGTCGTCGTTACTCGGCGATGATCTGGGCACGGTTTTCCGTCATTATGAACTGTCTTGCTTTCATTGTCGAACTTCGAACAACTTCGACACAGACTTTCGTCTAAGCAACCTCTGTTCATCTCATGTCGGACTTTGCGCTCCACTGTATTCTATACTTTTCTTCTAAGATTCTTATCCTAAGTAAAACTTACCAAAATTACCCGTGTCCACGAAAGCCGCAATTACAGTTCAAAACGCGAAGCAGTTCTTAGCCAATGTCTCAGCTGTGATAGTGGTAACAGATCGAAGTAACTTACATAATGTCCCTGTATATGTAGCCTAAATGACTATGCCTCTGTATTAATAACCGAATATAACAGTGATACACAATGATCTCTTCGTTTATTAAATAAGTATGTTACAGCATATGTTACTGCTACACGTTCTTCATAATGTTTTCTCACCTGGACAGTCAAAGGAAAATCTTATTGTAGTTGCAACTTCAATGTCTTCTGTTCATTTATCCATAGTCAAAACAGTCTGTCAGTATGTTACTTTGAATGATGCTAAAAGGTACCATAAAAGGTGCCATGTAAATAAGAAAACGAAAAATCTTCAGTTTTTCTACCTATGTGACTTTCCTTTCTTTTGAAAATTGATGATGATCAAGTTGAATGTGTAAAATACAAAGAATCTTGTGGTCGTATTTTTTTTTAAATTTTTTTGCCCGAAACCGCTTCCTTCGAAATGGTTTACTCATCGTAGACATTGGGTACAGACAGACAAAATAATGTGCGTTGCCCAGCATTTGCCAAGGGCAAGGGATACCACTGTTGCCAAAGCAGTCAGTAACGTTGAGGTTGAGTCTGTAAGTAGTCAGCATAAACAGCGACGTATGATATGCTACTGATAGAAATCAAGGCAACAACCAAGTCTTCAACAACCTGCATCTGCTATAACCGGGTCTTTCCTCTTGTTTAGCTTGGCATTTTTCTCTGCTACTGCTTTAAACGCTGATTTCGCTAGAGTCATTGCTGATGTGACACTGGACTGCGGTTAGGTAACCAAACGGTTTATTTCAGTAGATACACGTACATACGCACTTCGTCGTCAAATATATCGATATACAGGGATGGTCCGTTTTGTAGTGTTTGTCATTGGCAACAGGCCAGTGAATCTCCAGGATCTGACAGTTTCTTCCTAGTCGTGCGCCATTTGGCCAACCAGATTCTAGGCGCAGATGGTTCATTTTTGATCTTGAATCGTGGGCGAATCGGCATCGATGGCTTTTGGAGTGACACAGAAATGTCCCCTAGCGGGAACAGCTGACATGTTTCTGGTTTTTATCATTCCGACTCTTTCGCAGATCAGAGACCGATGCACCAACAAGGCTTCAGTCTTCCTAAAACCAAACACATGTTTTTCATTTGAGGTAGTATCTCATGCACAACAGTATGTTGACGTCGGAAAATTAAGTGTAACGTTGCCAGTATTGAATGGATGTGCCTCAGCAACTTCGTCGAACGGCTGAAAGGTTGTTGATGTTTTCCTTCGGCCGTGTTCTAAATTGCATAACAGTGCTGCAGATACAACATTGAGGCAGGGCGTGAAGTAGCGTTTCACATGAAGTGCGTTTCATGTCCAATTGGCTGCTAAGTACACGAGAGGAATACTTCTGAAAACAGATACGAGGAAGCGTCGCACAAATCGTTCGCAGAGACCGCACGAAAAGTGTTAGGATTTTAGCGAAACGAAGTCGTAGATTTTCCGGCATCGCCTGTCTCTTAATCTTTCATCGCTATATTAGTTTTCTGCCATGAATCAGATGAGATATGGTAAATCTGAAGAACTCGACTATTCAAGCCGTGGTTGACGTAGGCGAAGAAGCCCATAAAAGCAAAAAAATACAAATCAAAACTGCTGCTGAGATTTAGTCGAAAACATCAGTGAAATAAAGCCTGTTTTCTTTCGTTTTTCAGATTAAAGTCCTCGTTTTCGAAAACCTCTGAAAATTTGGCTTCGTGGTCTTATTTGCTTAGTCTCTCTAGCGAAACTGTCATTTGAATATTCTAATGTGACGATAAGATGTTGATCAACTGCAAACGAGGAGACGACCCTCTTATTCCTCTTACATGTAGAAGCTGCATTTCTTCGGTTCTCTTCGGCAGTGTTAACCAGTTTTTGGGAGAACCCGTTAAACCTCATAAGAACATTAAGGTCAATAACAGGACATTGTATATACAATAAAAATGGCAGGATTGTAGATCATCAACCTGTCATCCTTAAAGAAAACATGGTGAAACACTTCAGTCAACCCTTCGACTATCCGAATGGAGGATAACGATGGAGACTGTGATTTGCTCGCACCAACGCATGAAATGAAAACCTGGAAGCCTACGGTGACGATGTCCGCTGAGGAACGCAATTTTCTACAACAGTTCGGCAGTATGTAGTGTTCTTCTTTCCATGCCAAGGCTGAGCACAAGAATGCTGCCTTTACTTTTAAGAGAAACAAGAACATCGTCTATCGATTTCCAACTGATCTGCCTGATCGTCACTCTAATGACAACCGGGTTGAGCAGTTGGAAATGAGGAGCCGATCGTTTTATTCATCTTCAATTCTAAAAGCAGCATTTTTGTGATTCTCCGGGGCGTTGAAGAAAAGATCTACATACTGATGAATCGTTCGTGGTAGAAGGAAGGTTTCCGTATATCAGCGTACATGGCCACCGGGTTTTTCATGCAGCTGGTGTTAGCAAATCATAGTCCGCGTCGTGATGTGCTGTGGTCCATAACAATTCTGTTTTTATTGTAGTTATAGTATCCCGTTATCGATAGTTTCTCCTTACAAGGTTCAACGAGCTATGGAACCTTCTTATGACTACCTCGTTACCTGTTAATGTTTCAGAGTTTATGAAAAGCATTCACGACTATCGTAGTGGATTCTGAGTACTTCAACATACTTGATTTTGTTATGCGATATTCTTCTGGAGTAGGATTATGGAGAGAAGTTCGTAGGCGCCAACGTATGAATGAAAGTAAGTCCTTATATGTTTATGCGAATTAGCGTTGCATTCGCATTCCACCTAGGTGTCTTGGAGACCGTGTAAGTAGACCAAAACTCGACGGTATTTGGCATATTTGGTGGATCATTTTTACTGAGAAGAGCAAGGCTGGCTGTGGATATATACATATTTGATCACAAGCTAAGATAATGAGTATTAGCTCTTGAGTACGATTGCGACGTTCTCTTCAAGCATACCGTTTGTACAAAAGTACAAGTGCTGCCATTTGTGTTATATAAAATGCATTTTAATGAAATAATATCTTAAGACAGTTTGCACTCATATTTTGCGTAAGGAAGATCGAAGTTCAGATCGTCGCTAATGTTTTGCCAGTAAATTATAATATCATTTCAGCCAAACACCACTGATCAAAGTACCGTATTGCACATAATGACGACGTAGAGTATCTGTTATGACTAAGCTAACGAGGAGAAGATTGGCAAACCTATCAAAATGGTCCAGCGACCAAATTTGGTGACAGGAAGGTACTGACGACGGAAATGTACGGACAGAAATTGACGAATGATCTCCGATTACTTCAAATTTTTTAAAGGCATTCTGCCTACAAACCCAAATCTAAGGATTGGTGGGGGCACAGATATTTACTCAAGAGAGATCACGATGAAATATTTCATAACCGGTGACTTTCGGAACAAAAGGTGGCTGTCACTGCTTATTACGCTTTGAGCGATGAATTTACTTTCTGTGACTTCTCATGGCATTCAACAAACAAGCGGATTACAGGTCTATGATCTTTCAGCAGTTGTTTCCTGGCATTACTATGATAGAGTTTTAAAAGATATGCAGGTATGCGAAGAATCTCGACTGATTGCAGTCCAT